AAGCTTTTTCACGTTTTTTTGGAAGAAGAAGAGACATTTTAATTTCATAGAATTTAGAGATTTATTAATTTAAAGAAATCAAAGAAAATGTTGATTATGTAGAATTAATTACTTCACTTAGTAAATGATCATCACCAAATCTGAAATGCCGAAATAGTTTTTCATAGTTGCTGAAATTAACTTTATTAATTGCCGAAATTATACTTGAAATCATTTGAACACTTTAACTCAATAGCCAAAATTCTGGGTAGTTTTTTTATGTCCATCATTATGAAAATATTATAAATCCGAAATTGCTTGCCAAAATTGATTTTTTCAAAAACCATTTTGGCTAACATCTTTAGTCAAGATCTTGTTGAATGCCAATTTCATGATGGTAATAATATCCAACATTGTATTGACCAACACTATTTTGATTTTTTGCAGACTTTAAATAATATTGGTAAGCCTCATTATAATTTCTTTCCACACCAATTCCATATTGATAAAAATGTCCAAGTTGATTATGTCCACTACTATTTTCATCTTCAGCTGACTTTAAATACCACTCAAAAGCCTTATTTTCATCCTTTTCTATACCAATTCCAAAATTATAACAATATCCAACATTATATTGACCATCACTATCTTCATGATTAGCTGATTTTAAATACCATTCAAAAGCCTCTTCATAATCTTATTTTATACCAATTCCAAATTGATAACAACATCCAATATTATATTATTTTGATTTTCTGCACATTTTAAATACCATTGGAAAGCCTTATTATAATTTCTTTTTGTAGCAATTTCATGTTGATAACAAAATCCAAGTTTATATTGTCCATTACTATTTTTCTCTTCAGCTGACTTTAAAAAGCCTCACAATATTCCTTTTTTATATCAGTTCCATATTAATAACACATTCCAAGCAAGTAGTAGATAATTTTACTTTCTTTACAATTTAACAATAATAAATTTGTATATATGTCAAATGCCTTCTCTTCAACTCTTTTTACACCTATAGTTGGCTTGGTCTAAATTTTGGGCAAATTTTAAAAGTATAGAAGTCATTTTCTGTCCTACCTTTTAAAAAAATAGCCTCATTAGTTGG